ACTGGCTCATGTTCACACATACAAAACCTCAGGGATCACCCCACAGCCCCTTCCAGCCTGTCCCCATTTGGCACAGGCTATAGTAGGAGACTTTCAGACCTCCCATCTATCTGTTAAATACATTCTTAACATGTTAAATCTACCTTGGCATTTATGGTCAGTTTGCACATCTGCAATGAGCAGCAGTAAGGAAATAATAGGGCAGATTTAGAAAAGTATATTTTACCAGCATACAGCTCTTGCATTTTAGCTGAAAATTCTATTTTAGCCTATACTGGCTGCCACACAAGAACTTTGCTGAAGACTGCTATGAAACCTACCAATCCACCCATAAGAACTTTGACATTTTGGTTTGCTACTAAATATAAAAAAGAAAAAAAGTATCTGACTGACAAAATTGAAGATGCTTTTTCATTATTTTTAACTTTTCTAATCATGATTGAAGCAAACATGCACTATTTAATGCTATCAACATCATCTGAGATGTTGGGAAATCCTTCTTTTCTCTTTTTGCATCCTTCACACAGGTTTATTTCATTATTATTATTATTACTATTTAGTTATTATTTATTTTTATTTATTAAACTATTTTTTCCCTGATAAAAGGAGAATATGGTCTTCTGCCAGAAATATAGTCATTCCAGAAGTGGGGGAGAAAAAAACCAAACCAAACAAACCCAACAAGACCAGCAGTTGCAGTCTGGGGCCTTGCTGTGATGAAGAGAGAGAAGGAAGCTTATTTTCTACTTTCTCTGCTCCAGAGTCCAAAGAGAACCTGTTTCTGCAAGACCAGTGCTTGAAACACAATCTTCCTTGGCATAAACCCATTGGGCCACAGAGATTACCAAATACTTACCTGTTAAAAAGAAAAATAAAAAAGAAGGGAAAAAAATAAAAGAAGAAAAACAAGTGGCCCTTCCCTAGCAGAGGGACTTGGGTCCTAATTCCACTGAGATCAGCACACTGGGAGGGCTGAGCTGGAGCAATGGGCAGGAGGATGGAGGAGCAGGCATGGGCCGTTCCCAGTGGATGCTCTGCACACACAGCAGGGCCAGGCACAGCAGCCACAGGACCTTTCCAGGTGCCAGGACAACTCTTCCCACTCTAACAAGTCCCTGCTGGAGGAATGGCCCCACAGCATCACCTTTAAACACAGGCACAAGCATGGAGAGGATTCCCCTCATCTCTCACCACACCAGGCCCACAGGGAGTGTCCAGCCCCATTTTTTACAGCAAGAGAGAATGGCAGGGCAAGACTATTCCACAAAAATATTGATCCTGCTCTAACAGGTCCAGCAGAACTAAACTGTTGTTTATTTGGTTTAACAAAATGCAGGTCACCAGTCATTCAGATCATGAGCATTCAGAGAGAGAAACAAAACACAAAGATGCACCAAAGTTCAAACCACAGTTTTCAATAACCATTTTTTCCAGTAATTCATATATTTTTGGATTATCTGTCCCACTCTGGCTGACGCTTTCTCACCTGAGCCTACACTGTCTGTCCATGTAACACAGCCACACAAAACAGTGCCTAGGTGAAGTGGGCATTTTTCTGCAGACACTTCCACAGGCATTTTTCTCCACAAAGAAGAAATGGGTGGAACAGAAACACTTCCTCCTATCCCCCCATATCCAGACTCAGTTACTGGAAACAGACATTGCTTCCTACAAGGAGCATCCAGCACTGTCTGAGATATTCTCCCATGAAAGGCTCTCTGCTCCCTTCACTGCTTGTTTGGGCAGCCCACCCAGCACCCACCCCAGCAAGGCAAAGGACCACGTGCACTGACACCCAAACAGTCTCATCCTGCTTGCAACTGCCTTCTACTTAACACTTCTGGGTTTCTCTGACATGGATTCAAAGCTTCCTTTATCAGGTTCAGAAGACTAAAAGTACAGGTACCCATAAACATCTTGTTCATAAACATTCTGAGAGGGAAGAAGGGCCCTGCTGCTCAAAAAAATGAGGTTTCCAGAACAGTGAGGCACCTGCCCAAGCACTCTGTGCTACACTCTGGCACCTTGGGTAGCTCAGGGACTTACATTCAACAGAAATAAAATAATTCACCACTCCATCAACTGCCTACTGCCAACACTAAAAGCATTTAGTACCTAAGCTTCCTTACACTGCAATAAAAATAAAGGTTTGTCTAGATGTTTCAGAGAACACCAGCTTACCTCTGAAAGCACAAAGGCCTGCTTTTAATCACCAAAAGTTAGCTGGCACCACTTGTCATAAGCTTTTCTTAAGGCTTAATATCCAGAAAGACTCAAGAAAAGAAAAAGCAGTTAAGAGCTGAAGAGGGATGGAGGGAAGTCTTATCCTTGGAATAAGTAATCACCTCACAACTGCACAGGAAAGCACTGAGTCTGCTCAAAGCCTCAGTTCTCTGCCTTCCAAATATATTCCCTAAGATTGGACTAAGGACTTACTGTTTGAACAAACACTAAAAGATGTCTAGGAGAAAGGAATTATGGCCATAAAAACTTTAGAGATGCTTTCAGGATCTCAGAAGACCTCATAGATCATTTTGACATGGAAAAACTTGAACAGAGGTTTGATTTAAACATCAGGCTGTGGAGTGAGATATTTCGTATTTGCCTTGAGGTTTAGTGAACAGACAGATTTTGAAACAGAAGAAAGTGAGGAATATTGTGAGATTCAGGTTGATTCATAACTTAGAAACAATCAGTGAAAAAAAACAGTGTCAGTCACAACTGGTTTTGGACCAAGATTTCATGGTATGCTTCCTTTGGCCCCTTCCCCAGTGCACAGCACAGCTGAGAGAAGAACACAAGGAACTTAATAACCACACAGAATTTCAAAAAAATTTCTGTGGAGGAGAAAGTTGCATCAGGCTCTTCAAGAGCTAAATAATTTTCCACAGACTTCCCATTCTTTGATGTTTTCACACCCACATCTGAAAAGTGCTCCCATTTCTCAAGAGAACAAATCTATGGACTACATATGGCCACCAATAACACCAGTTGTTGGACTCATCAGGCAGTTACAGCTCTTCTGTATAAGAACCATTCCCAAATAACTGTTTAATGTGTTCATCAGAAAAGCTTGTCTATCCACATCTCACTGTGCACATAAACACAGAAAACTTCCTCACTCCCAATTATCCCCCTCTTGCATGTTTGGAAATGCCAGCAAATAAATGGAAGAGAATTTTATAATTACAAATAATAGCTCTTACATGTTTCCCTGATGTCTGCATTGGAGTCTGACTTGTTAAGGACAGAATTGCTGCAAAAAAGGCTTTGCAAGGGTAGTGAGAGTCAAGTCTAGCTGAGCTATGCCATTGACTGTGCCCTAAGGAAGTTGCTTTCAGAGGATGAATAAAAAGTCCCCCTTCCTCTCTTCCCACATAAAGTGCAAACCACAACCTGCACCATCACCCCATACTCACATATCAACTTCCTATCCTGCAAGTGGTTCAGAAGAAAAATTACTTTAAATTTCCTCACTAATTTCACTCTGAACAATCTCCCTTCCTGTCCTACAGGCTTGACAATGAATTTAAACCCAAAGCACACAAATAAGAAACACCTGATAGAACCAGATTAACTATTTTTTCAGGAAGTCTGAAGCTTTTTATCTGCACTACTGTGCACAGAAATTCCAGTTTTAAGTTCTTCCCCATCCAGCCCTATTTCCACTAAACATGCAGGAAAAGTTGCCCAAGATTGCCAATTCACATCATAAAATGTCTCTTGTTACTGGATATATTGTTAGGTGAGGACAGAAAGCCTGAACACCAAAATATTTCCACCTTAGAAAATCATTCTAAAAACAAACTCTCTTCTCTGCTGGGGCTAAGCCTGGGGAGGAATTGCTTTTGCCTTCACCCTATTGCCCAGTGGCTGAAGCTCTGCAGGTCTCGACTGAATACCTAACACAACACAACAACAAATAAATGGAGAAAATTGCTGTAAAACCCATCAAATCATCCAAAGTTAAACCCCATACTGCACTGTTGTCACTTCTTATTCCAGGATCACCCCCACATTCCCATACAAACCATGCAAACAACTGTTAAACATACACATCTCACTTCTTGCCTTTGTAAGCAATTTGCTTCTCAACTTCATTCCTCCTGTATTTAGAAAATTTTGGCTAATTTCTACTACAAATGCATTTGTGGACTGGTATTTAGATAATCTCAACGTAGTGATATCTTACAGGCTAATTCTCATCCAGTTCTTCATGAGAGCTGGTCTGACCACAATGTCTTTGGCTTAGTCTTTTCTAGGACAGACAAGCCAAAATACATAAATCTCTTGCCACAGAACAGGACATTTAATCTCCAAGTACTAGCAGCACACAGAATTCCAGATTTACCCAAGACTGGAGCTGAAGTTGCCCACCACATTTAATGACACTTTCATAAACTTTCTCTCTGTACTGACAGTATCCCATTGGATGCATCTTGAGAGCTGCTCTTTTCCAGAGACATTTCAAGGTGTGATTCATTTCCCATCCAGTTAAATAACACATATACATTTCCTTTATGATCCCTGACTGACAAATTCCTTTGCTCATTCTTAAGGCTTACAGGTAAAAAAAAGGCCCTCAGGAGCAAAATACTGAATGGAAATTACTCCAATCCCTGGATCATCCCATTTTCCTGACTAACAAGCAAGTCCCCAGGTACCAGCAGCACTTCCCAAAGCAGTGGAGCACAGAAGGTTTCAAAGAGCATCCCTGCACGTAGCTTTGGTTCCAAGACACATCCCTGAAGAATATCCTTAGTCACCTCGCTCCTGCTGCCAGACAATGACATCTCCTGGCACAGGGACACAGGAGAGAAAATGAAATATAACCTACATCCCTAACACAGCACCCGATGCAAGGATTGATATTGCTTCTCATATTAACAATGGGCATTCTCCTAATTTGGGACAGGTACATTTCTTAATTTACCTCTCTTTAATTTTTAAACCTGTAAAAAACCACTCCAGTGACCCAGTGAAACCTCAGTGCCACTCACGGCCCCCTTCAGCAGCTGCCTCTTGTGTGATCAGCTCAGGCAGGGTCTCATTCCAAAAGCCCTGGGGAGGGAAGGAAGACTTCTCTAAGTTCTGCTGTCCTGTTTTTCCAAGCATAAATATGAACTGGAAGTGTGCAAGCCAAGGTTTACTGACAAGGGAGAAAAAGAAAAAAAAAATCAAGATACTGATCAAAAAGCTGCAGTACAAAACTGTAACTAGGACATTGTGATGTCCCCTTCTTAGTAAGAACAAGGGAAAGTTTAGTTGTATGTATTTGTGCTTATGGGTTTATTTTTCATTGTTACCAATTAAACAGTGAAAATAAAGATTTTAAAAGCATTTTAAAATAAAACAACAGATTTTAACCCTAATCCTTTGAATAAACTAAGAAAAGATGCTGTTGATATATGCAGGTTCTCCTCCTCTGTTACTTAACACATACATATTTAATATGGTCAGTCATACAAAGTGGCTTGTTGATACAGCATCAACTACATGAAAAAAAACTTTCCTGAGAGCCACCTAAATGTGCTCCTTGCATAAAAATAAAACAGCAAAAACTGACAGCCTAATGAAATAACCAGCTCTTACACAGTTGCCAAATGTTGTTTACTGAAGAGTTCTATTTAACTCTTTCTTTTAATACATTAATATTTAATACTTGCTTTTCAAGACTAAAGTAACTAATCAGAACACTTTAATAACTATTTTCTTAGAGACTGCTTTAAAAATACTAAAACACTAGAGGGCTAGAGAGAGAGTTATCTTCAATAATCAGTTCAGAATTCTTATTAATTGTATTCATAACTGGCCATCTTAAGCACCTGTGGAAGAACTGTCTGCTTTGCTTCAGCAAGCCTCAAGTTTTAAAAGCAGAGTTAGGATTAGAGGCACTGAATATAAATATTTCTAAAAAGAGGGGAATTACTCACAACAGCTACCAGGTAGTTGCTATAGCAGCTAAGAAATAAAATCAAGGAAGATCTTCAAGGTTGTTAGGAGAACGTTTAATTTATTTAGAAATATCCTGAGCAATCTTTTAATATCTTTGCTGCAGATGCATGCAGTGATTTGTATGAGACCTGGGCAATGCATTGGTGTTCTACAACTGCAAGTGTGGAAAACTTCTTTAAATTGCAGACAGGCACAGGCCAAAAGGCACCAACATTCTCATCAGGTAATTTAACATTTTCCTGCAGCCAAGGGCCTGTGGCTGCACAGGAATATCTGCTGAGGGGCACCCTCAAGCACAGGAGAAATGCCTTTGATGCTGCCTGGAAGCCAGGGCAGAACACAAAGCCCTCCCATAGCCACGTGTTGAGAGGGGGATGTGGTGTCTTTCTGAAGAAGTTTCTGTGAATTATCACCTCTGAGCCAGCTACCCAGGTAAGGCAACAGAGCACAACTTACTTTAAGCAAAGACAACAGCATCAGAATGAACCACTGTAAATGGTTCGTTTCCCTTTCCTTGGTACACAAGAACAGGTATGTCCAGGCCTGGATGCCCAGATGTTCCTTTTTATTCCACCAGAAACCTCTTTGGGTTATTCCAGTTGCAGAAATAACTGACTTTTCTCCCACCTAGCTTACATCAACAGGGACAGAAAGTTTACTGCCTCAATCCAAAGGCAAGTCTTAAAACTTTCCATGGTAGAACAGGAGCACAGAGAAAACACACAGAGCTTTTTGGACAGAAACTGCTCTAACCAAACCCAAACTACTAAAGCCCGAAGGCATAAGCTCAGAACATGACGCATGCCAAGAAGATTATTTTTGCACATATTATTTGTGGAATCAGGATAATTTACACTGCTATTTTTTCCTCCTTTTTTTTTGCCAGTGCACCTCCCAGCAGCAAACCCTCAGGTCCACACTTTCTGCCGACTATTTGCTTCAAAATGCACAAAAATGACCCAGCAATGACAGATCTACTTTTGAAAAACTGATATGCCACTCCTCACTTGTAGTAACTAAACTCCAGATATAAGCAGCATTTTTCACCTATTTTCCTTCTCTGGAGGATTATCAACAAATTTCAATTACAGGAAAAGTAATTAAAGCTACTCAAGAATAAAAAAAGCTTGCCTAGAGATCACCAAAACTTGCACAAGTCAGCTGTTACCTCAGCCCTACCTACAGGTGTGTTGTCTGCAAAAGAAAAATCCCCATTATTAGAGGAATATTCTCCAGCCCAGAGAACACTCATTGAAATCACACTTGTTTTCATTCACTGCTTTCCCTTCCACATGACTCTTCCTGACTTGTTTACAACCTGAATGGAGATTTCCCAGCTTTTCTTTTCAAACGTCTGCATAAAAAAAAAATTAGTTCAGCTCATCTTTTTTTTTGGATCAAGGTAAAACAAGGATTTTCTTATTTGAGCACACAGACCTAACACAAATACACACAACACTGAATATCAAACCCTGTGACACAGCAAAGAAAAACAACTCCAGAAACAAAAGAAAAACAACAAGATTTGGAAGATAAATAATTATTTTCTGAAGCATCCATTACAATTACAGCAGTGAGTTTTATCCTAGGGTAACAGAGGTGGCCTTTCACCAGCAGATGAAGTATGAACAAAAGTCCAGCATCAACTACACTAAAAAACCCCAACAAAACAACAACTTTGTATTCCTGAAGCATCCAGCTAGCATGTAACAGGGTTTGTTAACTTCATATACTCCCAGTGACCAATAGACACTGCAACAAGATTGGAGGCAAGGACTTCCAGGTGTTCTTCTCTGCCACTTGTTTATATTATCCTGCACTTACAGGTTCTCATCTGATGCTGCATTTGATTTTATTTTTTTAAACAAAAGTATTTACTTCATCTCTCTTCCCTTCCTCTCTTCACTATGAAGACAAATGGGATGTACTAAGCAAAATATTTGCTGTACAAGATGAAAGATTAACAAGAAATATTTTTTTATTATTAACAGAGAGCATTTTAACAAGGAGGCATTAAGACTTCTAATTGCTCACGAGTTAATTGCCTAAAAATCCTCCTTTAACAGTTCCAGTTAACAGACCATGTAGCAAATTTGTTGATATTTTTTTAAGCATTTGTAGAAATCAATCATCACCACATACTGTGAAACCTAAAAATCAATATGCACAACTGATAACTATACATTTAATGAGATGTTTAGGTAACTAATCAGGGTAATGGCAGTAGCTTTTATTATTATAATACAAGTCAACAGTTAAAAAAAAATTAAATCGAAATGAGCAAAAGCCAAGTAAAAGAAATTCTGTATCTTCCATTTCATTAGATGCAACATTTCTGCTCTTACCAGGGATTTACACGCTAAAATAACAAACCAAAGCCGCCAACGGTGATGCCTCAGATTAGAGCAACCACGATGGCAGAGGACTGTAAAATGTGATTTACCAAAAGAAGGCAAAAGCCGCGCAGGCCGCAGGCACAGCGGCCCCGCCGCAGCCCCCGGCCCGGCCGCCCCCTCAGCCCCGGCCCGGCAGGTGCAGCACCGACGCCCCCTAAAGACACGGCGGCGGCGCCGGCCCCTTCCCAACTCCATCCACACACCGCCTCGCTCCGCAGATGGAAACGCAGGGAAAAGGGAACCGCGCGCCTAAGTAGATTAAGGGCTCAGCGACTCGTTTTCTGATTATTTGTGCGATGCCGACCCCAGCGCGGGCCCCCCAACTCCCGCTTGTCCCTCGCTTCGCCGCGGCGGCGCTCGGGCAGTAACGCGAAGCGAGGCGCACGCAGAGCACATCCAGCGGTGCCGGCAGGGCAGGGCAGGGCAGGGCAGGGCTGGCACCGCCGGGCAGCCCCCGCAGACCCACGGGCAGCGCTGCCCCATCCCGCCCCCGGCTCCACCTGAGGGGCAGCGCCGCGACCACCGCCGGCCCCGGGGGAGGGCAGCAGCCGTCCCCACACCGCACACGCAGCCCCCGGGGTCCGGCGGGGAGAGGAGGGGTGCGCGGGGCGGGAAGGGATGCGGCAGCACCTACCCACGCCGTATTTCTCCTCCTCGGTGGGACTCCACATGCTGCTGGATGGCTCGGCCGCGGCCGCCGGTCCCCTGGCAGAGCGCGGCGGGCGGGCGGACGCCGCTCATCGAGCGGGGGCGGCTTCTCCTCCCCCCGCGCTGAGCGGGGGCGCCGCGCCGGCAGCCCCCGCCCCACGCTCCGGCCGGGGCTGCGCTCGGGGGTCGCTTCGCCGCTGCCGGGGGGCGGGGGGAGGTAGCCCCCCGCCCGCCCGGGCAGCACCGGCCGCCGCTCCGCTCCTCTCTTCTCCTCTCCGCGGCCGCTCGCCGCCGGCCCGGCGCGTCTCCTCGCGCGGCCCCCGCGGGCTCCGGCCCTGCCGACGCGGCGGCCCCACGGAGCTCGGCGGCCCCGGGCCCCCTCCTCGCCGTTCTCCTCCTCCTCCCGAGCCGCCGCTCCCGCCGCCGCCGCCTGAAGGACTCGGGGCTATCGCGCCCCCCCCGCTCTCCCGGCGGACCTGGCGCGCACGCGCGGCTCGCGCCGCCCCCCCCTCCCCTCGCCGCGTGGCCGCACGAGGCGCGCGCGGGCGCGAGGCGGCGCGTGGCCCGTGAGGGGGGAAGGGGAGCGGGCGGTCCCGGGACCTCCTCCCGTCCCATCCCATCCCATCCCATCCCATCCCCCCCCCCCCCCCCCCCCCCCCCCGCCGCACCTGCCGGCCCCGGCGGCTCCGGGAGGCCGGCCCGCAGTGCAGCACCGAGCCAGGCCGCGCTGGTCAGCGGCGGGGCCGGCCCGACCCTCGCCCGGCACTGCCCCGAGGTGCCCCTGGCAGCGCTAACCCCGGCACCGCCAGCGCTGAGATCAAAATTTGGCTGATATTGTGTTGAATTTTCTTGTTGGTATTATTAATCTCCAGAGCTTCTAAAGTGCTGGCGAAATTCGCAGTTTCCACAATGAACATGTACCCCAAACGGGAAACAGGGTTTAGATTTCACCTCCAAGTTCAGCTTCCACTTCCTTCCATAAAAACTGAATTGGAATTTTTCACAGCAGAGGAAAGCTGAAATAAGTGATACAAAAGTTGTCCTGCAATTGAAATTTTGCTCTCTGCAGTATTCTGACAGACCATTGCCCTTGTTCTGGTCAGAGCCTCCCCAAAGCTAGGGGAAAAACCAATTTTTATACAGCCTTTTCAGAAACCTTTGTAAACAACTCACTTGACATGAAGTTTTAGGATTGCACTAAACTTTTCAACAATATTACTTCAGATGTACCCAACACTTTTAATAGAATATCTGTTCTCTGATTATATAATAAAACAGAATGAAAGTCATCAATTTGCACTACAGAACTTGGGTTGCTGTGGAAACCTTCATTATTTATTTTTTTTTAACACGTGCAACTACTGTTTCCCCACCGAGCAGGGCCAGGTTTCTGTTTGGGTTTTGGTTTGGTTTTGGGATGTCAGGTTTTGTTTTCCTGTGTGGAGAGCAAACAGCAAGTGGCCAAGAACTAAGTGTGCTTGTACAATATTCATTTAGAAAAAACAACCTATTCTATCCTACCTTAATTCATATTCACATTTAGGCATTTGTATTTACAATAGATCCATTCCTTCCCTTCCTGAAGCACTCCTACAGCATGCAGAAATAGCTTTTTGAAGGGACAAAGCACGACAAAGTCATTGAGTTGCATCTGTTGGAGATAGGATACTCCAGGGTTTGAGAAACTGGTTTTGGGTTTTTATCTCTGTATATGCCAATAATAAGTACCTTGGCATCTCTTCCTAGTACTTTGGGAGCAAAAACCTCTGCAGTGACAGGAATTGGTTAATTCTTCCAGGCTCTTTATTCCACAGTCTCAGCCTTTCAAGGATTCTTCTTGCTGCCAAGCTGACCAGTACTTAAACTGATACTTTTCTTGCTTAAGAAAAAACACAGCCGATTTTTTTTTCCAAACTACAAGAGTCTGAGTTGACTCTTCCCCTAAAGTCGGAATGAAGGTGAACTTGGGAAGGCAAGTGAGAATCTTCTAAGATTAGATAAACTCTGAGAAGGACACCAAAACAGCTGGACAGAACAGGACCTGCAAGGACCTAATAGCACACAGAAAGCACTTTATTTAAAGGCCACATGTATGATCACGGACACACAAATCACAGCATTTGCAGGGACACTCACACTGATGGCACATTACCTGTATTTGAAACACAACACGTATTCTTGCATGTTTACTCCTGACTATTCTGCACTGCTGCTGGTGATACCTATTTTCAGAGAGAATCAATAGATGGCCATATGACCCACATGACTTCAGGAAGAAAAAAGCCAATGTACTTAGCTGTAGAGTGGAATGCAAGATTGCTTAAGTTAAGGTTACCAAATACATTTACACCTGTTCCTCTGATCTCTGCATTCACCCCTTTAATGAGGCTCCTATCACCTCCACAGAAATACTGATTGCTTTAGTAAACACTCTTAGCTTAAGTGTATCGAGGAACAAACACCTCATCCTCCCAGAGAGGCAGAGCCACAAATCTCCCAGGCACCAGGCTGGAATTCAGGATTACCCACGTGCAAAGGAGAGACCAAAGCAAACAGCGACTGCTGCAGAACAACTGTTTGTGCTGTCTCTTCTCTCTCTTAACAGAGCTCACTCCTGCCAGCTTCAATATTCATACTACTGTGGAAAGCACAGGAAAAGCAGAGAAGTACTCTAGCAAGCAGAAACAAGAAATTCTCGGGGTTGTATGCCCCAGGGTTTTCTTTTTTTCTTTTTTCTTTTTTTCTGGAGCTGCTTTCGTTTTCCCTTATAAAGTGCGCACATTGAAAACGCACCACAAAATTGGAATCCAAAGCCTACTTCTAGTTAAGGTTTTGTTAAGAACTTTTAAAAATCAGTATCAGCAATTAAACTAAATTTTAAAATCTGATGTAAATGTCAGAAGCTTCTACAAGAAGAGCTTCTGTGGGTGAGCATTGTGGATCTCAAAAATTAATGGTCTTCAGAGAAAAGGGGCCTCCCCTTGCAGAAGTCTTCAAGGTGCTGCTCTGTCACTAAACTCCTGTGTTGCACTGTATTGAAATAAAGGCAAAAACAAGCTTCAAGACCTTGAACAAGACAAGTCAGCAGAAAAGCACTAATCTCTGAAAAACATTGTCTAAAGATACTTAATGTCCACTGTGTTCAGGAGCTGTCCCGTCAGAGGTATTGAGTTGCTTATGGTTCTGCTACTGCAAACAGTTGTCCTTATGCAAACAGAGCAGGCAGCAATGTTTAACACAGTGTTAATTAAAATACATTAGAGCCTTCATCCCATGTTGTCCTGTCTTGCCATAATATAGATGTGATCTGAAAGACAGCTGGCTTGGGATTGGAGAGATTTGACACAGTTTCTTTCTCTTAAATAGATCAAGGGAACAGCACAATCCTTTCAAAAGCTCTGCAAGGGACAAGGGAAGGTCAGAGTGCAGAAAGCAGAGAGATTCTTACACCTCCCTGTGAGCAGCTTTCTCTCAGTTATCCCAGCCTTAAGGTACCACAGAACACATCACTCTCCTGCCCTCTTTTTCAGGTAAGTGCAGCCCCACACTTCACCCTTTCTCCCCATTCTCAGGCCTATAGTTGCTGGTAACTTCCATTATTACTGCAAGCCTCTGTTTCAGTAAGATGGCCCAGGACCCTTGACATCAGAAAAAAAAAATTAGGGATGAATTTCAACTCCCTGTGACAGATCAGACAATTCATTTGATTACATTCCCTCCTTTTCTACACTTAAGGTTCTGACTTTGTTTTTTTAAAGTTCATGTTCTTCCCCTGTTGTTAAGATGAATTAAGCCACTGAACAACTTGAATTTCCCGTTATATTATAAATTCCTCACCTTGCAGGGAGAAACAAAGAGATGCAAAGCAAATCCACTCTATCATCATCTGTGATGACCTCACAGGTCCTTTTGAAGCACCAATTGTTTTTACTTTATGCCTCAAAATAGGGATTCTTGTGTCCCAAGAACAGAGCTATTCTTCTTTTGGTGAAGTCATCTTCTAAAACTTTTAAGCAGGAGGTCTCATGTTTTGATGTACAAACTCAAATTCTATTTTCTGTCCTATTGCACAGGGCCACCTCACGGATTTCTTCCTTATGAGGGAACAAACCTGCAACTTAGGAATCTAAATGCAGCAAATGACAGATTTTCTCTCCAAGGAATCACGGTATTTGTGCCCCACAACTTCACACACTTAATTATTGTTTAATCGGGATGATTTCTGATTAGTGCTCAGGACTGGGGAGGATTTTTGAGTCCACTATCTTAAGACTCTTTCCAAGTTTTGAATTCAGGAGGAGTTCCTTATAAACAATTCTGCCCTCAGCACTCAACATTTCTCAGAGAGGCAGGAAAGGAAAGCAGAACTCCACAAAGCAGCAGAATTCCCAGCTTGCTGCTGTCACTCCATCATTTATTTCTTACAGAGTGCCTGAAGTAGGAGCTCATGACCAACAGCAACCAACACACATTGAACTTCACCATGTGAGATGCACAGACAGAACTTTCTGGTAATCCTGGGAACATCTCAATGACAACAGTTCTGGTCTTCCATTCCAGAATTTTTCTTTCATGCAAAATGGAGGTCAGTACAAAATATTCCAGTACTTCCCCTATTTTTGGTGTTGTCTTCCTCAGGGAAAAAGTAATCTAAATCATAGGAGGAAAAAAAAGAGGTGTTTCCACATCCTTCCAGAACATTAGACATGTGGGATTAAGCCTCACCTAATAACACTCCCCACAAAAATGTCCATTATAACCAATTTACACAATGGTTACAAATATAATATTAAAAGTTACTTTCATTCTACTTGTAATATTCCTTGAAAACAATT